AAATGAAAAATCTGTGCATGTAAAATACATGTAAAATACTATGTAAATTACATACGTAAAATACATGGTTTGTCATATTGCCAACCCTAGTACAAACAAAATAACAGCTATCTTGATAAAATACATGTTAGGTACATTTACCTTTACAGTTTATATTTGTTTTATTTTACACTAAATGTGCAAATTATCATGTACAAATTGTTTTTTAATCCGGATAATTTGAGTGTATTTTTATTAGGTTCATATAAAATGCATTTGTATAAGTTGTAAACTTAACATTGAACAATTTAATTTATGTTTAAGAAATTTCTAACATCAATTAAAATAATCTATGAACAAAATATATAAATTATATACAAAATAAATAATTTTGAACATTTAATAACTGATTAATAAGCATTCAAATAATAAATATATTGTAAAGTATAAGTAAAATGATTAATTACTAAATACTATAACAATTACATTAAAAATAACTAAAAAAAAGTAATTATTAATTTTATAAAATACAAAAATTAACTGTACCTGCCAGGTTTCGAACCTGGGACTTTCTGTGTGTTAGACAGATGTGATAACCACTACACCACAGGTACCCGCATGTTATTTTCATGCTTAACATGCGTAATGCTAAATGCTATGGAGAGCACAGTAAATGTATAATTTACTGTTTTAAAATAAGATCATGGTTATTGATAAGCTAGTTTAATCGCTTTTCATATGATAGAGTCGCCTCAAACAGGTGTTTTAACATAACTACATTATGGTTTTATTTTGCTTTCTGTTAACATTTAATTTATATAAATTTTAAAAATTGTGGACAACAAATGCTATGCTAATATCCTATTGTATAATAATTAATTTTTAACAGTAGTTTACATCTATGTTTAAAATCGTGTTTTAATTTTATGATTTTTGTTTTTGTCTGTTTATAGAAAATAAAATTATGTAAAAAATATGCTCAAGGTTATGGCTGATATGTTTTTGCATTAATTAAATGTTTTTTGAATGACAATCGAATAAAAGTAAATTGTTTTGTCATTTTTAGTTTTCTTACAATAACATGATATAAAAGTTTGTTTTTATTAAACACATTAAAACTATAGCATAGCTTCAATGGATTTAACGGGTAAAGTGGCCGTTATTACAGGTATGCAAAGATCATTATAATTATAGAAATAAATGATATATTAAACCATAGGCTCGTCTTCGGGTATCGGCAAAGAAATGGCCCTAAAGTTGTCGTCTTTGGGCGCGGATGTAGTGATCACTGGTCTGGAAGAGGACGGCATCCATGAAGTGGTCAACAAATGTCAGACACAATACAATCGCAAAGCAATCGGAGTTTTTGGTGACTTAACTGACGATCGGTTTGTCAAGAGTTTAATCGACAAAACAATTAACGCGTTCAACAAAATTGATATTCTGGTCAATAACGCCGGCATATGTTTTGAGACTGACATCAATGATCCCAATTATAAGGCTTTGTTTGACCGCACTATTGCTGTCAACCTGAGACCAATGCAATTGTTGACACAGCTATCGGTGCCATATCTGGTGGCCAGCAATGGTTGCATTGTTAACACATCGAGTGTGAACGCAATTAAGCCGGTTTGTATCAACAAATTACAATTAAATTATGATAATGGTATATTGATAATCATGACTCGCAACATTGCCTATTTATAATATTTATAAATTATAACTAATTTGTTGTGTACTTATATTAAAGCCTAAATCATTGGTCGCGTATTGCCAGTCAAAAAGTGCTGTCGATATGTTTACCAAGTGTTTGGCATTAGAGTTGGGACCAAAAGGGGTTCGAGTCAATAGTGTTAAGTAAGTGCGGATTAGAGAGAGAGAGAGAGACTATACATACCTAATGACAGTGATGTCTTTCTCGGCCCTCAACTGGTCATCCATTAAGAAGGAGAAGGCTGTCCAGTAGGTGATGGCCATAAACTTATCATTATCCATGGTGAAGTAGCACGAAAAGGGTATGAGTGAATAATCATGATCATCTTTCCACTCCATACCAAAAGCAGTGGTGAACACCTTTTTGAGCTGTTCGGTGGCATCTCTAGTGCCGGGGTTTGGCTCCATTACCTCAGCAAACAGTCCGTTCAGTTTAAAGTCCATCATCTGATCCGTACTGATGGACACATCGCCGTCACTCTTGTCGGCCCTGTTTTGGCACTCTTTGGGTAGAAATCCTTTTGACCATAAAATCGGATCCCGTTTTGTGCTCTGATTTTCATGCGGTCTCACTGTATATGTGGTGGTAATCAACACAATATTTGTTAGGTATTTGTCTTATTTGTTAACTTAAATACATTTTAAATTGCAATTTAATTATACTTACATATAATAGACATTTTATTCAGTAATAAGGTTTAATTTTTGATTAGTTGTAATTTTTAATTACAATGTTGTAAATGTGTTTTAACTTAGTGTGTTTTCGCAGTATTGAAATTTAATAAAGATTTTATATTAAAATAATTATAGAAATTAATTAAAACACAACACCTTTAAAAAACCACACACAAAACCAACAACTTTAAAAGTAGTCAAGATTTAATAAAACACTGGTATTGTTACTAAAAGTAAATAAAACTTTAATGATAACATATTATTTTATTTTATTTAAAAGTTTACTTTTTTCTATTTATTTCATTGTTATTTATTGAAGCTGTTATTCAATAGACTTAATTTAAATCATTAATTAATCAATTAATAAAATTTTCGATCAATTTTAATTCATTAACATAAACAAGTCTGTGCTAAATTTAAAATATACTTTTTATATAAATTATTTGTCTATTAATATTAATTAATAATAATAATAATTACTACAAAATATCAATACCGGTAATAGGTTTACAAATGTATCAGTTGTACTAATATCTTTAATTACAATTTGAACACGGGCAAAATAATAGTGTAATATTTAATTATAAAAACCAAGTGTTCATAATTGTTGAGCTCATACAAGCAGATGTCCGCCGTCGACCGGTAAATGAGCGCCGGTTATAAAGCCAGCCATCGGTGAGACCAGGAATGCTATGGCATTCGCCACGTCTAGGGGTTCACCCATTCTTCCCAACGGATAAATGCGTTTAAATTTCTCTTCAATAGCGGGCATATCACTCGCTTTGTGCATTGGTGTGCGAATTGCACCAGGGCTATTTTTAGTGTATAAATCATGTTAGAAAATAAATATTTAATTTTGCAGTCTCTCTCTCTCTCTCTCTCTCTTTAATTAATTAAATTTGCATTTATTTTGCACAGCAAATGGCAGACTAAGTATAGGCAGGGCGAGACCTCCGACACGAGCCCTTTGGACAAAATACTGGTCAAAGCGTTGGATTCGGTGCGCAAAGTGCTGTCCGCCGATCAGTACGAGCGACACGTGAAGCACGCGCTCGAGTGGCTCGAGTCGTATAAAGCGGTCAATCACTACGATTTCGCCGACAAAGTCATGCCATACGAGCGCTTCTTTGATCTCAGGTATGGTTTACTTTTATCCGACAATAATTATCATCAAAACAAACACACCTAATATTCACAGCTATTAACTACTAAACCAGTAGTACTTATTTAGATTATCATGTTTGAAATTAATTTAATAAATTGTACCATGCTCATATTAATAGGGAATGGGATTCTGCGCACGCGATTCTGGCCATATTCGCTGAGATGAGCTGCGGTTACGACCCCAAAGAGCACGACCTGACCGACAATCGTATATACCGGGCCTTCAACGCAGCCCTCGGCCGACACGCCGTCCTCTGCAACGAGATCTACGGCCTGAAGAAGCGGATCCGCGACGGGCTCTACAAATACAGCTACATGTATGTGATTATGGCTGAGGAGGGCTATAGCGCGCAGTCGGCAATGGATCGCATTGTGTATGAGATACACGACTCGTGGACGATAGCCATGAATTACGCGGAACAGCTCAGACTCATGCGGAGCAAAGAGCTGTACGAGTACGTGGTCGAGATGGTTAGAGTGACCAAGGGTAATTTGTACTGGGCGTCCAAGTGTCGCCGATACCAGGCTGAGCTGTAGAGTTGTTTTGAATTGTTTGCTGCATAGCATCTGGGTTGAGCTTTGGTTTACCAGCAAATATGTTAATAAAATAGTTTTATTTTATTTGTATTTTGTAAAATGTTAATATAATTAAGGTGTTGTCGTTTTGATTAATAAAGTTTTATTTTTGCATTACCTCGATATCAAAATTAATTTTTGTTTTTTAAATTGCTTGCTAAATTTTACTCTTTTTATAATGTTACATAAGCAACAGTTACATACTGCAGTTATATTTATGTAACTTATTTATTTAATCAACGTTCAAGTAGATTATACAGTAAAATTATAATTATAGATTTATAACTCTTTGTACATTTAACTGTTTAATAACTTACATAAACTAGTAAACACTCGTGATAAATTTATACATAAATAAACAATTTAAATAGCTTTCCATTAAATTTTTTTACAAAATTTAAAACTACTATTTTTCTCGAGAGAGAGAGAGAGAGAGAGAGAGAGAGAGAGAGAGATATTGTCTATTCAAAGGCTGAGAGAGAGAGAGAGAGAGAGAGAGATCTGTGTTAAATCTAAATTGACAACATCTAATGTAATATGTTTAACATATCTGATATATACAATTCAATAAACCATCAATAAACGAGGTCAATTAAATTATACAAACAAACTATAAAATATTATCACCGGATTTAGATACGCATAAATAATGGTAAATGTATAATATTTTTAAAATATATCTAATATTAATTAAATGTACTTAAATTAAACTTAAAATTTAAATTTCATTTACTTGATAATATTTTACTAATTTTATCAATTAAAAATGTATCATAATTATACTATATTTTAATTTTAATCCCAAACAAAATATATGAACAGAATAATTATGTAATAATGTACTCAACATTAATCATTTCCCTATTAATTTATTACACAATAATTACCAAAACTATTTGAATTCAAACACTGATTACAAGCGCTATCTTTACTCATATCACAGATTTTGGACATTAAATAAATAATTTGTCAATTAATTGGTGACATTACATTTGAAACATATAATAATTTTTATACACTTTAGAGTAAAAATGTGTTAATAACACATCTAAAAATTTAACCAAAAATAATTTAGCAAAAAAAACATAATTGAACTAGATCATTATTATTATAGTGTAATATAATTGTTGGCCATAAACAATGGCTGTCTATACCGGTAACAATGACAACAGCGATGAGTCCACGGGCTGTGGCATCGGCTCGTGGCGGCCCAAATGGCTCCAGTCGTGGGCTACACCAAAAATGTTCCTGTTACTATTTGGTCTGGAGGGTATACTACAGGGTGGGGCGTATATGTACATGGTGGCCTCGTTGACCACGCTGGAGCGCCGGTACGCCTTTGACAGTTTGGTGTCTGGCTTTATACTGATCGCCGACGACGTGAGTGGACTCATATTTAGTCCGTTTTTTGGCTACCTGGCCAATCACGTGCATCGGCCACGTTTCCTGGGCTGGTCTATGATACTGGTGTCCGTCGGCTGCTTTCTGGCCACAGTTCCCTATATTATGTACGGCCCGGGAGTGCATCTGTTGGGCGCAAATATCGCCTCTTCGGCCACTAATATGTCGGCCGAGTATTGCGATAGCAATAGGGATGGAGACAGCAGTTGCGGCCCCGGTGCCAGTGATAGTAATCGTAGTGTTTTTCTACCGGTGCTCTTCCTATGGCTGTGTACAGCACTCAATGGTATCGGCGGCTGTGCTTTCTGGACAATAGGCATGCCTTTCATCGACGACAGCGTCGATAAAAAGGATTCACCCATTTATATGAGTATATTTATCATGTTTATTATTATTTAATAATGTATAATGTATTATTTAATAATCGTATTTTTAATGATTTATTTTGTCTTCAAAGAGACTGTAGATAAAAATATTGTCAAAATTTGCAATATATTAAGTTATAATTTGTTTTGTTTGATGAAGTGTCAGACGATTTGCTAATATTTTTTAAATTATAGTTATATTTTACTTTTATTTAATTGTGAATTTAACCTTGATTTATTGTAAATAATTACAGGTATGTCCGCGTGTTTGCGTCTATTGGGGCCAACCATTGCTTTTCTCCTCTCGTCATATGTATTGACTTTTTATGAAAACCCTTTGCGTTAGTAATCAGTAATTATTTTGCAAATTTTAAAACTAGCGCTTAATGTTTAAAAAGTATTATACTTTTGTATTATTAATTAATAACTTTAGTAAACACCGGGATAACTGACCGGCGAGACCCACGTTGGGTGGGAGCATGGTGGATTGGCTTTGCCTTAATGGCCGTGTTCATATTCATATTCGCGTTGCCATTATTTATGTTCCCCGCTAAGTTGAAACGACCAGGCACAACTAGCCCCGATAAAAACGATCGAGAACTTGTTGAAAAAACACAATTAATGTTAGACAAAAAGCGCAAAATAAACGAAAATTTAAGTAATAAATTCAATGTACAAAAGTATATAATATGTCACATATTACATTAATGCATTTATTTTATGTCCACAGGTCTGTCGTTCCGTTTGTGGCGTTTGGCGAAAGACCCGATATTTGTGTGCTTTGTTTTGGGCACAACTCTGCGACTGTTCGGAGTGTTAGGGTATATGACATTCAAACCCAAATACATGGAATCCCAGTATAAAAAGTCTGCCTCCACTGCCAATCTATTCTCTGGTACTGTTTTTAGCCAACCCTTTAATTTTGAATTCACAGTTAATTTTATAAATAATCTAACACCTTCTATAATAATTACCATAGGCTTAATAGGCATAATCCCGGCGGCCATAGGTTTAATACTGGGCGGCGCGTACATTAAGTACTTACAGCCGGGTCCTAAATTGTTGACCTCGTTCATAACTGTCATTGAATTGTTGGGCCTAATCGGCTTCATATCGGCCCTATTCCTGGGCTGTCCGCTCACACCCTTCGCCGCACTTCCCGTTAATAATGCGAAGTAAATGTTTTAAATATTAATATATTGTCACATGATATAAAATAATATTACTTTTATTTAAAATAATCTAGTGTCGATGTGCAAACACTGTGCAACCAAGATTGTGCATGCTCATCAAACGTATTTAAGCCCATATGCGGACCGGATAATTATACCAATTATTTTTCACCCTGTTTTGCCGGTTGTAAACCCGACTCGTCGATCATAAACTCAATTAATAACAAAAAAGTTAGTCTAATGTTAATTGAATTGTATGTTTATGTAACTGTTATTAATTTTAATTATTAATTCAATAGCAATACTCGTCGTGTGAGTGTATGGGCGGTGAAGGTGTGGCCACAGAAGGCTATTGTCCCACAAATTGTGGCAATAATTTTGAGATATACGTGACTATTTTTGGAGTTGGTAATTTAGTTGGCACTTTGGCCCGCTCTGGCAATGGTATCTTATCGTATAGGTAATTACTATCAAGCACATTTGTTGTAATAGATGCAAAACATTATACTATTTTGAATTAACCTTCATTTTTATGCGCTCAGAATTGTGGACGAATACGACAAAAGTCTGGCCTCAGGAATACGTTCATCATTTTACTCATTGTTTGGTATAATAATTAAATTTGATTCTAAAAATAGCATCTAGCCAATTATATAATCACAGCATTCATCCCATACCCTCTGGTCTACGGCGCCGTCACAAACACTGCGTGTGAGGTCTGGGAGTCAAAGTGCGGTCAAACCGGTAATTGTCTGGTCTATGATTCGGACAAATTCCGGAACCGACTCCACGGCCTGACAATAATCCTCTATCTCTTGGGATCCGTTTTCGATGTAATCATTATATTCTTGTCGTCGAGAATCAAGAATCTGTACGACGACGAGGAAGAGGATAATGACGACAATAATGTTGATAATGATCTCAATTTAGATGAAATTGAGTTTAGGCAATAAATTTTTAATTCTTATTTAATTGAATATTTTGTGTCCTCAATAATTATTATATAAATTTAATATTTTATATGAATAAATTAAATGATTCTGTAATAAACGACTTTTTAATCAATATTACTTTATAATAAGCAGTATATAACGAATCAGTTTATTTCTGACATGAGATTAACTATGTTAACAATGATAAATCTGAAACATTATTAACACAGATTTAACCAAAATCTTAATGGCATTTACAGTTGGCCTAAATTGTACTGAAGTGTACTTAAATGTCCATAAGGTTACAAAATCATATACAGATTAAATACAGTATTGAAATAACTTGAAATCTAATGTATAAAGTAATTGTCAAAATGTTTTAAAATTGTGCATGAAATAGTGAAATAATCAATATAAATATGATAAAATGATGTCCATTGCAATAGATTTGGGTAATAACTGGTTAAAAAAATTACACGAGCTAAACGAACTTAAATACAGAATATTACTTTATCAAACCAATCAATCATTATTTATATGCATGTACAGTATTTTATCAAAAAACAAGGTCAATTAAATAATATGAAATAAGGGCAAGCTTTTACGGGGCATCAAATTGAAGCAATCTTTGGAGCTAGAATTAATATCAATGTAATTTCATTTTAAACTAAAGTATATGCTCGTTAAATAAAATTGTAACCAAACATATAACTTTACAAATTTATTATTGCAATATTGAAATAAATCCATGTTAAGCTGTATCTAATTCTGTAAAACTATTCCTGTGGTAATTATTACAAATAATTTTATATAAAAGTGATAAAATAATTTAAAATGAAATACTAATTAATCAGTATCGGATTGCCCGTAAACTATTTGCCTTATCATTTTAATAGAGATATTTTAAACTAAAATGTCACAAATTATTGCCAATTAATTTATCAAAACATTTTGATTATATATAAACGTGTTTAAAAACATTAAAGAATATTATTCTCAATTATATGCTCACTAAATATTACAATTAGTTAATACTCTCTGTGTGTTCACTATAACGGGTGAACAAAAATGGCTCTCTATACCGATGCCGATGACAACAACGACGAGTCCACGGGCTGTGGCATAGGCTCGTGGCGACCAAAATGGCTGCACCGATGGACAACACCCCGGGTGTTTTTGTTCCTATTTGCCCTGGAGGGTATATTCCAGGGCGGGTCCTACATGTATGTGGTGGCCTCGTTGACCACGCTGGAAAAACGGTACGCATTCGGCAGTCTTGTGTCCGGCACTATATTGTTGGCTGACGACGTGAGTGGACTGATATTTAGGCCACTATTTGGCTACCTGGCCAATAAAGTGCATCGACCCCGAGCAGTGGCCTGGGGTATGATGATAGTGTCGTTTGGCTGTTTTGTGGCCACCATTCCCTACATGATATACGGCCCGGGAGTACACATGTTGGGCACAACACTCACTAATAAAACCTCTATTGAGTTTTGCGATAGCAATAGAGATGTAGACAGTAGTTGCGCGGGCAGTGACGGCACCCGCAGTGCGTTTATACCAGTGATGTTCATATGGATGGCCACTGCGCTGAACGGTATAGGAAACGCCGCCTTTTGGACAATTGGTGTCCCGTTTATTGATGATAGCGTCAAAAAGAAGAATTCACCCATTTTTATAAGTATAGTATGATTTATTTAATTTTATTGTACACATTTTAATCAATGTAATATGGTAAATATTTATAACTGATGCATAAGCTAATATTCTAAATTTTAACATGATAATAATAATAATAAATTTAACTTTAAGGCACGACCGTTTGTTTCCGACTGTTGGGGCCGACCAGCGCTTTCTTCCTCTCGTCATATGTTTTGACATACTATGAAAACCCATTGAGTTTGTGAACAGTTATACCTCTATTAAATATTGTAAACATAATTATAATATAGCAATAGTTAATACAATAAAATAAATTAATTTCAGTTGACCCTGGTATCACAGATAGAAGGGACCCTCGTTACGTGGGCGCATGGTGGATTGGTTTCGCCATATATTCGGTGGTCATATTTATTTTCGCGCTGCCATTGTTTTTGTTTCCGCGAGAGTTTCCTAAACTACACTCAAATAAACATAATAATAATGACAAAATACAAATTGAACATGATGCCATTGCCAAATCAAAAGCTGATGCTATACGCAAAGCAAATTCCAAGTTAAGTAAGTATTGAGCAAAAAAATAATTTTTAAATTAACATATTAAAATAAAATTATGAGATTAAATTATAATTAAATTAATTATAACCAAACAAAAATACATTTAATTATACATTAATGTAAACATTTTCTATCAGGTCTTGTGTTTCGTGTGAAAAGGTTACTGAAAAACCCGATTCTTATCAGTTATTTGATGGGAAATATTCTCAGATTATTCGGTGTTTTGGGTTACATGTCATTCAAACCCAAATATATGGAGTCTCAGTATAAACAAACCGCTTCAAAAGCAAACCTATTCACAGGTAAGTACCATGCTGCATTTTTATATTGACATTATAATTAGTATAGTATTCCCATAGGAATCATTGGTATTGTTCCGTCGGCTACGGGTGTGCTATTGGGCGGAGTATTCATTAAATACCTACAGCCGGGCCCTAAAGCGCTCACTAGTTTTGTTGGTATTGTTGAAGTGTTTGGCACATTAGGCTATATATCTGGCCTGTTCCTGGGCTGTCCGCCCACACCCTTCGCCGCACTGCCAATTAATAATGCAAAGTATAAACATGTTAAAACTACAAACTACATAATTATTTATATAAATGTATATTTATTTACTTTTTAATATAATTTTGTTAAATCTAAAGTTTGAACCCGCAATCATTATGCAATATGGATTGTGCATGCTCATCCAACACATTTAAACCCATATGCGGACCCGACAATTATACAAATTATTTTTCACCCTGTTTTGCCGGTTGTAAACCTGAGTCTATTATAAGCGCTATTAACGGCAAGAATGTAATAAAAACAAGTACTGGAAAATTGATTTTTAAAATATTAATTATTAAATTAATTTCATAGCAATACTCGTCGTGCGATTGTTTCGGTGGTGAAGGTGTGGCCACAGAGGGCTACTGTCCCACCGATTGTGACAACAGGTTTGACACATACGTTACAATATTTGGTATTGCTAATTTTATAGGAACTCTGGCTAGCGTTGGAAATTATATAATAACTTTAAGGTAATTAAATTTGTTTAATATGATAGTACAATATTATATATTGTATTACAGTAGTGAAAGGTATTAACGGGGATGGTATTAGAGATGTAGACAACTTTGGCTGTAATATAAAATAGTGTTAATTGTATACCAGAGGGTAGTGTCACCCCTAATACCAACCCTGTTTAATACCGATCTCTACTGTTATCTCGTTTATAATTAATTTTATAATTTTACAAAAAATTATCGTCAAAAATACTAGAATTGTCGATAAGTATGACAAAAGTCTCGCTACAGGATTATTGGGCGCTTTGTCCTCATTATTTGGTATGCATTTGTAAAATAATAATTCAAATATTGTATATTAAATAAACATGTTTATATTTTTTACCCCAGCATTCATACCATACCCTCTAGTATACGGAGCGGTCATTAACACTGCGTGTGAGGTCTGGGAGTCAAAGTGTGGTAAAACCGGTAATTGTCTGGTCTATGATTCGGACAAATTCCGGAACCGACTCCACGGCCTGACACTAACCCTGTATTTCTTGGGATCCGCTTTGGATGTAATCGTCGTATTCTTGTCGTCGAGAATCAAGAATCTATACGACGACGAGGAAGAAGATAATGACGACAATAATGTTAATAATGATCACAATATAGAATCAGAAACAATAAATTAAAAATGTTAAACTTTTATTTAACAAAATTTTATTTAGTTTTACTGTAATGTATTGCTTTATATTTACAATATACTGTATATAAACAAATGACATTTTATCAATAATACATAAACAGTACATTAAAAAATTAAGTTTATCAGTAATCGTCTTTTTACTTTTCATATTAACTATTTTATTAATTACTATGTTACTAATTATCTGTGCCAAAATCTCATTGACATCTACACTAGGCCAACACATAATATTGATAGTATGACATGTAAAATGTTTAGAATATTTGTATAATAATACATAAAATAATGTAATAATTAATATGAATATGATGAAATGTCCGAATTTTATAAACTAGATAATAATTATTTTCAAAATTCACATGACAAAACTTTATTGAATATAAAATTGAAAAGTTTATAATATAAATTATATATAATATTGAATTATATATTAAATTATATATAATATACAATATAATATATTTTAGTTTTATCAAATTGTCTCCTGGGATATAAATTGTCGTCTAATTAATTATTAAATTTCAATATAGTCTATATTATATTATGAATTATCTAATAACTTAAAAATATATACGACTCTCTGGCCATTCGTACACATAATTGTGTGAAAAGTAACACGAAATGAAATACCCATATTTCGTATTTCATTATTATAATAAAGATATTTTAACTACAATTACAATGATTACAATATGATAATTATCAATGACTGTACTTTCTCAACATATATTGATTATAAAGTATGTAAATGTGTAAACATTAAATGAATAATATTGTAGAAAATTGTGGGGTTGACTTTTTTGTACGGTCGCCACGGGTCAATTTAACATGCGATAAATAGCATTAATTTTTAAACAACATTAAATTAATTTTTATTATTATTGTATTAAATAAATTGTGATGAATAAATTAAACACAATAATTTTGCCTATATTTGCTTATATTTAATGTTTTACTAATCCATTACCGCTTTTAATAATGGCATTCATATACTGTATAATTAAATTGTTTTATAGTTCTAGAAAAAGCTTTTAATTAATGCTTCCCATATGTTTAACTCGGAATCCAAATTATAATTAAAAATTGTATTACAGATTGAAAATAGACTTCAAACTAACGTATAATTTGTATTCACTCTCAATTAAATTGTTTTATTAAATAAAATTGTTTTATGTTTGTGATTGTGTGCTAGACCTTATTTGTTGTTAAATAAAGTCAGACCCCATACCAGAAACATCACAAAATAAAGATTATTTTAAAAATAAATGTTTTTGCTTGTTAAATTTAAAAATTTTAAATGTTTTTGCTTCTATGATGTTCATTTATATTCGTTGTCTTACGTTTGTCCATGATCATTTCAACCACAAACGCTATGAGCGACAAAATTACTCCGAAATGGTCCAAAGGCTATTCCAGTAAAATTGTAGTTTTTAAACAATTTCCCTATTAATCACTGGTATTTTATCAATTAATTTAATAATTAAAATAAACATTTATAAACATTATTAATCTAAAGATTAATAATTGACTTAAATGTCGACATATTTCACTTAAAAAATTACCAATTTTTATCAATTAAATATTATACAGTATATAAATATTATTTTTGTTTGTTAAAATTATACATGACTCATTATGTAACATGGCATAACTAGAACCAGAACTTGATGAGTCATTTAATATTCAGACTCATAAAAGTAGTGAATCAGTCAAAAGATAACAAAAAATTCTTTATTCAGTTAATGTTATACATGATGTATAATACATCTATAAAATAGTTGCGATAATTATTATTATATTTTTAAAAATTGTACATTATTGACAAAACTGTATTAAAATTATATTAAAGTTCCTGCCATAATTATAACCACATGAGAAACATGAGAATATAAAAATGTACACATAATTCAAACTATAAATAATAGTTAATGTACCGGTATTAATGTGATATAATTTATTAATACAGTATTAATAATACTATATAAATTAAAATAATAGTTTGTACTGTACATTACTAATGTAAGTTATTGTTAATAGGATGGAAGTAACTGATGAATTGATAACTATTCCGAGTCCATGGGATCGCATAAATATATTTTCAAAACTTACATTCAGGTCATTTTAAAAATATTTATATAAAAAATTTCTTGAATGTCATTTATATTAAATTGTATTTTGTGTGTCCATTAGTTGGGTGTGGAGTCTATTCATTCGGGCGCACAAAAAGGACCTCGAGTTCAGTGATCTCTACCGCTGCCCAAAATCAGATGAGACACATCTCGTCCGACAGAAGTTGCAAATGTAATATAAAAATTAATATTTTGTTAATTATTAAAATAATAAAAATATTGTACAGATTTTATGTTTTGAATGTATTTATATAGCAAATGGGATAAGCAATTGAGGGGAAAAAAGTCATCACTATTTTGGGCACTCTTCGCATCGTACGGACCCGAACTTATTGTTCTCTATATCCCCGATGCTATCAGGGTAATTACAATTAGAAATATAATGACGTTAAATATTTCTAATTAATTTCATTGAAAACAGGAATTGGGACTGAATTTGTTTCAGCCGTATTGTATCGCATATTTGGTGAGATATTTCAACGATGACCCCAACACTAGCCAGTGGTGGGCCATATGGGCGGCCGTGGGTATTGTGTTGGCCGCCATTGCAAACATGTTTATCACACATTTGAATAGTACGCATAACAGTAAAGTTGGAGTCAGAATCCGTGCCGCCTGTTGTGCCCTAATCTACCGCAAAGTCTGTCACAAAATTTTGTATTAATTTTTATTTATATATTTACATGTATTTACTTTATATATAAAGTCGATGCGTTTAAGTCATTCATCACTCGGACAGACAACTGTTGGCCAGATATTGAACATTATGTCCAACGATGTCAACAGATTTGATGCGGTATTTTATTATGAAAATAGGAATACAAGGGGAGTATGACACTTGCTCAAAACCCACTTGCTCAAAATTTTATAAATGTAATTCGTAACATAATAGTAATATAAAATATTATTAATATTAAATTTATTACAAAAATATTCACTCATGAAAATATTTTAGTAAAGATATATCATTTTGTAAAAAAGAAATAAGAACAACTTAATTTAGTAACTATTGGATGTTTTATTATTTTATTTTATTAAATATTATACAGTAAAAGAAGAATATTCTTTGAAATAAATATAAAAATTATTTTGTTTCAATTATAAAGTTACTTATTACATTTATAATATTTAGAACAAATGCGCTTTGTACAAGTAACTTTCGAGCTAGTGGGTTTCAAGAAAATGGGGTTCGAGCAAATGTCTACGTCCCGAATACAAACAAATTTAATAATAATTATATAAGTTACATGTATTGTATTATTGTTCGGGAAATAGTTTGCATCAAATTCGCGATCACTATTTGTGGCGCCACTGCAGGCGGCGATTGTATTATACTTGTTGTGGTCACACTTGCGGTGGGCGTGTTTGACGGGAATGGGAATACTTGTGCTGTTTATACCATTTCAAGTACTAATGGGTCGTATGTTTCGGACTATACGTCAAAAGACGGCTAAATTAACTGACAGTCGAATCCGTTTAATGCAAGAGATTATCGCCGGAATGCGTGTCATAAAGATGTACGCCTGGGAACAGCCCTTCGCACAGTTGGTCGCAATCGCTCGCAAGTAATCACACAAATGACATAATATATTAGTTAATTAACAGATAATTTTAAATATTATATAATAATTACTTTATGTTAGATCCGAAATGACCCAGATCCGTTTATCAAACTTCTTAAAAGGGGTTAACCTTTCGATTTATTTTGTTTTAATACGGGTTATAATATACGCTTGTTTTTTAACATATGTACTGATGGGTGGGATGTTGTCGGCGGAGACAGCTTTTGCCACTATTGCTTACTTTAATGCCATGCGTTGGTCAATGGCTAAGAATTTGCCCCTAGCTATTGCAGCGTTAAGTGAGCTTGTGGTGGTTATTAAACGTATCCAGGTAATAATTATGTTATAGATCTATACGTTAATAATTGTTTAAAAATTTTTAATGTAGGATTTTTTATTACTTGAAGAGATTAGTGTTAAGGAGTTTAAGGATAAGGAAAACACTTCGAGTAATAAAGAAAAAGGCGTTTTTATGGACAAAATGAGCGTTCGTTGGAATAATGTATGAATTCTTTGATGTCTTTCAACACGTGTTTAGAGTTTTATGAATACATTAGGAGACGACTGAACCCACGCTTCGGGACATTAGTCTGAGTGTAAAACCCGGACAACTGTTGGCTGTCGTCGGATCCGTTGGCAGTGGAAAGGTATG